ATTTTGCGTTTTTAATGTATCAGCAGATGCAGGTACATATATTGTAGCATCGCAAGCAAGTAAATACTTAATATAATCAAGAATATAATTAGGCGGTTTAGTTTTATGTTTTTCATGTGAGAGAGAATCAATGATAAAAAAATAATTTATAGTATTATCGAATCTTCTTACGAGGGAAGGTCACCGACTGCCTCCTCGCTTTTGAGCTGAAACTCAGTTGACGATAGATAATCGAACGTGCTAATTCCGAATATCACAATGGTTTTTGCCCGCTTTCGATTTAAAGACCCGTTTTTTAAAGACCTTGATTTTTCAACCGAAAAACCATTTTCATTAAAAAATTTTCTTGACCTGTCCACATGAAAGAGCACGTCGTCAAACCTACAGAAAACAATTTTTCAAGGTTCTAAGCGAGGTTTTGAGCGAGTTTTCTGCGTCTAAAATTTAAAAGCCTTTGATAAGTAAAAAAATAGGACAGAAAGAGAAACAGTAGTTTTTCTTTCATAAATTGTGTAAGAATATTAGCGATTTTTCCCTCTTTTTTAAGTTTTAGACGCAGAAAACTCGCTCGAAACCTCGCTTAGAACCTTGAAAAATTGCTTTCTGTAGGTTTGACGACGTGCTCTTTCATGTGGACAGATCAAGAAAATTTTTTAGTGAAAATGGTTTTTCTGTTGAAAAATCAGGATCTTTAAAAAACTGGTCTTTAAATCGAAAGCGGGCAAAAACCATTGTGATATTCGGAATCAGCACCCCATGTAAAAAATTTTATCCAAAAAAGTGACTATTAAGTACTTTCAATAGTAGGTTTTAAGCAGGACAAAGTACTTATAAGTGAATCTTTTTAAGTACTTTTCATACTTTTGACTAAAAAGTACTGTTAAGTACTTTTGAAAGTAGGAAAAGTATGAGGAAGTACTATAGAAAGTGGAAAAATTATCAAAAAGTACTATAAAAAGTGAAAAATAGTAAGAAAAGTTACTTTGTTTTACTTTATTACTACTAAAAGTGATAAAAAGTGACTTTTGGTTCACTTTTCTTTTACATTGGACGTTCGATTATCTATTGTCAACTGAGTTTCAGCTCAAAAACGAGTAGGCAGTTGGTGGCCTTTCCTCGTTAGACAGAAATAATGATCATCTAGATGAACCAACAATGCTTTCACATCGTGAATATGATTTATTATCAATTTGTAATGGTCATTTGAAGTTTCATTCATGTTAGTTAATCGTACAAGTTCAATATTATACTGTCGTTTAAGAGCATTTTTAAGTAATTTCAATGTGATAATAACCAGTGACATGATTGAAATAAAATTCTTGGTATATACTTATATCTTGATGGAGTACTATTTCTTGTGTTGCAAGTTCTTTTGCTAAACTAATTAAATTTGTATCATCAAATATTTCTACATTTTGCACAAGTGCTCTAAGAGCATGACGACCACAAAACAAAAGTTCTTGTTTCTCACAAACTATAACATCTTCAGGTATAATAACATCGTCAGCACGATCATAATTATCTATAAAGTTAATATTGTTAGTAAATTTAATTCGTTTACAAGCATATCTTCTTCTATATTGTAATTTGACATTTGTTTTTTCTGTAGTATCCGTATTGGATATATAGCTAGCGTTTGGATCATGAATATGGTTCTGAGTGTTAAAAGGCAAACTTTTGATTTTAATATCAAATAGGATTTTCTTACTGTTTCATCAAAATAGTCATCAAGTTTAATACGATTTTCTTTTCGATTCTCTATAAACGTTCGATTTCTTTTAACCCTTCCTTTGAAATCTAAATACTATTACATAAAGAAATAAATCTATTTAGTTAAAATTAAATGCCTTAAAAGATTTTCGATCGTATGCTAATATAATAATATAAGTAATTTGACAAGTTCTACTGAGAACTGTGTAAAACATGCCAGGTTTCCAATATTTACGACTAAGATCTATAACTAATTTTGAATATGTCATGCATTGAGTTCTATGTCTGGTTATAGCATAACCAAGTGCCAGTGGTATTTGTTAACGAGTCATGCTTATATTATTCATATCATTAAATCTTGTTTCTTGTGGTTCTAATTTATATGTCTGACCATTGAAAAGTTCTAAAGATTCATTTTTAATTTTAATATTTCATTATCGAAACGTTTATAGTTTTACTTAGCTCTATATGTTTAGGCAGTTTCGTATTAATGACATTTGGTAATCCAGAAAATTTGTCTGTGGTCGTTGTTGGTGCTGAAAGAAAGTCTGTAGAATCTTCCCAAACAATCTCTGCGATTACACCATCAGTTCTATTGACAACATGATTATCTTGATCAATGTTTCGTCTTATAAGAACATGTGCACCAACACAAATAGGCTCTCGTTGATACAATGATCCACATTTATTCTCATCAGGTGAAGGCTTAAGATTAATTTTGCACGCTCTGTGACTTGCATTGCTAGTTTTGAAAAAAGGTGTATTACGGGTGTGTGTTGGTGTGGGTGTGAGTGGGTGTGGGTGTGGGTGTGGGTGTGGGTGTGGGTGTGGGTGTGGGTGTGGGTGTGAGTGGTGTAGATGTGGGTGTGGGTGTGAGTGGTGTGGGTGTGAGGTGTGGGTGTGAGTGGTGTGAGTGGTGTGGATGTGGAGTGTGGGTGTAAATGTGAGTAATTCCCTTCTCTAGGCTCATCCACATCCGCAACCACATCCACACCCGTCAGTTTATAAGAGAAAATCCGACCTACCGACAAAATATCGATATACAGACAACAGACTGAGGCTTGAGATGAAACCTTGCTCAATAGTGAACTCTCTTGCGGGCTACCCTCGTACTTTCACGCATACTGGTATAATGTTTCACCGTTGATAACAATAGTCTAACTGATTGGGCATGCTGAAAACTGTTTTTTAAATAAATTTCTGTGTGATCAGTAGAACTAGTCTTGGTGCCAGTTGTTTTTTCATATGAATACCATCATAGAGCAGGAAAGTGAAAAATATAGACCTTTCTTTTTACGTTCATGTTTTTGTGACTCTTACAATAAGACTTTTTTCCTTTTTATTCGATAATATAAATCGATATTGAATGACGAATTATTTATTCCTAATAATCTTGATACATTTAGAGAATATGCTTCCTACAAAAGATTCTACATCATACTCTTTCATTCGGACACATTTGATTTTTGAATATTTCAAATCATTTACGCCTTCTCCAGTTCATATTGTCTGTCAGAAATACATCTTTTGAAAGTAACGCTGGTAAAATAATCTTTATTCAATCAGTCTGTTATGGAGTGCAATTCATAATTCCTTCAACAACAAAACTAGTGATCAAATTCTAAAATTACGAATAACGAGTATTAAATCCGAACTGGATCAAAGTTTATAGAAATATCTCTAACTGATTCAAGTTTTTCACATATGGCGATAATCTACAATATAAATATAACATGTCAAATGAATAATACATGCCAAAAATTCATTCAATTTTCGTGAAAAAACCCAAACTTTTCTTACTATTTCACTATTCACTCTCCATAATATTTCATTTGAATATTAACACTAAATATTTATTCAATTCTAATCAGACCGCCTTACCAAATCTATTCAATGTCAAATAATAACTTCTCGCAAACCAATAGAACAAAAGCACAGGAAATATTTCAAAAATCTTCCGCACATTCGTTCTCTCGCAAAACGAGAAATCAATCACTCCCATTGTATATGTCACAGGCAAAATTAGTTTTTTCTTTGGCGCTTCTATCAATTTCAAGTTTGCCTAGGCAGAATTCGTTAGCTGTTTATATGATTATTTTATATTATTTAATTACCATTTTTTTTTCATTTTCTTAAACAAAATTCATTGAGCACTAAATAGTTTTCAACATATTGTTTTTGCGATATCAACAATGTCATTGCAAGAAACAAACTCTTCGCATCATAATATTCATGATTTTGCATGTGAAAAATTTTCTGACCTCGCTTAAAAACATATTGATAATTTAAATCCTGAACTTCCTAATAAAGGTGTTAAAACTCGTGATCAAAGCGAAAAAATAATCAATGTACTTAGGTCAGTCGAAAAGTAGTGGCACAGGCATATCAATTCCTTATAGAAAGCTCTGTGAAAGTTTTTTTTCTATATAGTCTGAGAGAGAAAAGAAAGGTCTATTTTTCTATGCTATTTGATCATACTTTAACTAATACCATGATAATAAATTTTTCGTAAGACTTTTTTCGTTAACATGTTTCCTCGTTGTAAGTTGTACGTCGCAGTTTTCAATTCCTTATTAGCTGCATTAACAACCAAAATATGTCATAAGATGCAACATGAAAAGTTCTTCAATTTCCATAAGACCATTTATTTTCTAGTTGTACATTTTGGTCTTAAAATAGACTAAATTTTGACCGATCAAATTTCGACCATGAAAAAGATAATGTTTTTGATACACAACGAATTCATTTTTTGTTATCTGATCATTTTATCAGCTGATACGCCTTATCAAAAGAAAAACAAAGTACACCAGAAGATGCAGGGTGAAAAGTTCTACAATCTACCTAGTAAAGTTTATTGTAATTGTTTTGAGGAAAAGAAAAATTCTATACGATCAGTTTTTACAACAGCCAAAGCTCGATCACTCAAAACTTTGTCCATTTTGAAAACAAAAACTGCAACTAGTAAATAAGTGGTCTTATGGAAATTGTAGAGCCTTTCATGCTGCATCTTATGGTATATTTTGGTTATTAATACAATGTATTAGTGAACTAAAAAACTAACCCATCTGACTCATTGTGAGCTAGTACAACGAGGAAACATGTTAACAGAAAAAGTCTTACGAAAAATTTATTATCATGGTATTAGTTAAAGTATGATCAGATAGCATAGAAAAATAGAGCTTTCTTTTCTCTATCAGACTATATAGAAAAAAAAAACTTTCTCAGAGGTTTCTATAAGGAATTGATATGCCTGCGCCACTACTTTTGGACTAACTTAAGTACTTCAGAGCAAGTTACCTACTGAAAAAGTTTCCAGACGTTTTTCTCGCTGGTGTAAACAAACATTCACGCTTCATCTCATCAGCAGTCATCAACTGTTATGTGATTTTAAAGAAGTTAAACCTGTTCTTTTATATCAGGATATGTTCGATATCAATCAGACAAGCCATCATAAGATTGCTGATGATGATCGAGACAAATGTCTCGCATATATTGCTACAAATTACAATTGGATAAATCGCTCATCGTTACAAATATTTATCGCACAATGCTCAGTATGTCAAACTCGAAAAACAGTTTATCTCTATTGTACCAATATTATTAAATTTTTTCCAAACTCCCAAAACCCTAGCTCGAATCGGTCACAGTATATGCTAATAATTTGTATGAAATTCAAAATAATGTTTACAAAAAAACCAAGGCAATTTTGAAAATCTATACAAATTCTCTAAACAGCTTTTTATTGAATTTATCGATTAGTGAGAAGCGAACTTCCATCGACCCAAGTCTTGATGAAACATGATATCCGAAAACTTTTGAGTGATAATCATTTTTATATATAAAACCAGATGAAACAGGTTTTGAACCATGCTAAAGTCATTTTCTTAATCAATCATTCTACCATAATAATCAATTAATTACTCACTAAAAACAAAATGATATAAAACGGAAAAACTTAGAAGAAAACAGCCCAAACACATTATAGACGCTGCTGATAAAAAGCTTACTACTCGTTGAAGCTCAACCAAGTATCCGCTGTTCCTCTGATGAAAATAACAAGCAATGTCATTGAATTAAAAAAAAAGACTACGCGATAAAATTTCACCAAACATCCGAAATCGCTACGTCCCCATCATTGCAGAAAATACGAACTTTTTGTAAATGAAAAGAAAATTGATGAAAAAAATCTAACCAATCGTCAATGTCTCCATGTCCCCATCATCGAAAAAAATAGATAATTTTTGAAAATGAAAAAAAAAATGGATAAAAAAATCTAACCAATCGTCAATGTCCCCATGTCCCCATCATTAAAAAAAATAAATAATTTTTGCAAACGAAAAAAAAATTGATAAAAAAAATCTAACCAATTATCAATATCCCCATGTCGCCATCATTAAAAAAAATAGATAATTTTTGCAAAGGAAAAAGAATTGATGAAAAAAATCTAACCAATCGTCGGGAAAGCGAAAATTGGTCGAACGAAAAATGATAGAACGAAAATTAGCCGCCGATAATTGGTTGCTACGAAAATTAGTCGCTACGAAAATCAGTCATTACGAAAATTCGCCGTTACGAAAATTGGTTGATACGAATATTAGTCGACAAATTTATAATTGAAGTACAACACTAACAGTAATTATTTTAATGGAACAACGTTAGAGAAAACAAATTATTGAATAGATACCAGTAAGATAGATACAAAAAAGAAAAGACCAAAATAAATACAAAAAAGCTGATAGATACAAAAAAAAATAATGAAATAAATATGAATTTTTATATGTTTAAAGTTTGGAATACGTACTACAGTACTATCCGATAAATTCGTTAAACAATTATCAATGATAGTTTGTGTAGATTCATTATAGTTAATAGTACGATCACGAATTTTTTCTTCAAATATTCGAATTTCACTTGAAACAGCATTTCCAAGATGATTATGGTTATTAGTTTCATGTGATATAATGGTATTAAGAGAATTAGTATGAACTCGACCTTTACATTTAAGCGTTCGAGCAAACTCGTATTTCCAATAAATTTTATCATCAGTTGTTTTGTCGATAGTATAATTAAGGCCATTACAGAGTAATAAAGGTTTGCTTCTTTGGGTTTTACTTAATATAAATGTTGACATTTTAACGAAAAACAAAAAGCTGAACTACTATAATATCTTGATTTTTTATAACCTACTGGTAATCTATTAACCTAATCATAAAGAAATTAAGCTTATTATAAGATGCATTAATAAGAGAATATATTTTTCTTTCCAGTAATCAAAATCCTATACTAATTGATATAGATCAGAGAAGAATAATTCCTAACTTGTGATAGTATAGAGAATTTACTTATTATCGCTTTTGTCACTTTTTTCTCATTGCTTAATTTACTCGTCTCACTAAAATTTTCAATTTCAAATATTTTTTCATTTAATCATGAATGTGTTGACTATTTTACATAGCGACTGATATTCATATCAACCAATTTTCGTAACGACTAATTTTCGTAGCGACTAATTTTCGTAGCGACTAATTTTCGTA